CTTGAGTTTTGGAGTTGTAATTCACCTACATCCAGAGAGCACTGTGGACTCAAACAATGATGGATCTGAACCAAACTTGGCACAAATACTCAATATGTCCAAATGTGAACACTGGAGGGGTTGTGGAAAAATAAACTTTGACATTTGGCAGTTGTAGTTGCTGGGATTTATAGTTCACCTACAATCAAAGAGCATTCTGAACTCTACCAATGAGAGAATTGTGCCAAACTTCCGACACAGAACCTCCAAAACACAGGAAATACTGTGTTTTCTGATGGTCTTTGGTGATCCCTTCTGACACTCTCTCGTGACCCCCCCCCCCAGTGGTCCCGACCCCCAGGTTGAGAAATGCTTCTTTAGATCCTTGTAGCTGGATCCAGGAGCAAGAAACACATACATAGAAATGGAAGCCAGAAGTTTGTTTTGAGCAACATTTCAACAATATAAACAATATAATGGAGTTGATGTGCAATTTGGGTTTCCTATTGTTTGCCTTGGACCGCGAGAAGATCCAACCAATCCATGCTTCAGGAAATAAAGCCCGACTGCTCATTCGAGGGAAGGATAGTAGAGACAAAGATGGAGTACTTTGGCCACATCATGGGAAGAAAGGAAAGTTTAGAGAAGACAATGATGCTGGGGAAAATAGAAGGAAAAAGGAAGAAGGGCCGACCAAGGGCAGGATGGATGGATGGTATCCTTGAAGTGACTGGCTTGACCTTGAAGGAGGTGGGGGTGATGATGGCCGCCAGGGAGCTCTGGCGTTGGCTGGTCCATGAGGTCACAAAGAGCCGGAAACGACTACACGAATTGTTTGCTGATTGATTGATTTAATTTATATCCTACCTTTCTCCTGATAGGAGACTCTAGAAGGCTTATGACAAAATTCAAGATCCAATAAAATTAAAAACCTGATAATACAAAGGTCAAAGACAGGAAAAGGAATAACATCACTTTCACCTCTCTGGCAAACCTCAGTAATGCATGCCTTTTGCGAATATCCTGTTTGACAGTGGCTTGTTCACCTTATCAGCCATACTAATTCCTGACACCCAGATCCTGGTGATAAAATCTGGCACTTTGTATATACTAAACTATCAGTGTTACTATCTGGTCTCCCACCATATGACTAAAATATGTAAATATTTTACTGGCAAAATTGGAAGTACATTGCCTACAACAGTGGTTCCCTTATCAACAACAATAAACTCTGATTTAATACTTTTATTTTATCTTCCCAGTCTTTTAAAAACCATCAAAGCTAAGCCTAGCATTTAAGTCTACACAGTATCAATACACCATCAAGCAGATTTTATCAGAAATGCAAGCCCTTACATAGTTTCATCGGACCACATGAATTATAATCCATTGAATGTTACAAGCAAATTGCTTCTTGGATTTCAATCAGATTTGTAACAGCAATAGCTTCTTTGCATATATTCCATTTCTATACCCTCATGATAGAACTACATTGGTACTAGTTGCATATTGTATTTGTTCAATTGCTTTCTTTAATAGGCCTTATATTCAGTCCAGTGAACAAATTATTCCGGCTGGAGTACTTAGTCTTAAACCGATTTCTAGCCTGATCCTAGTATCTGCTATAGCGACAGAAAGCATGACATTACTCTGATGCTATAATGTTTCTCTGAGACCGCGTGTTAAATTTGTTCTTTTTTGGTTTGTATTTTTTTTTAAAAAAAACCTGATAACTTTCAAGTCAGACATGTTCAAAATTCAACCAAATTCACCTGAGCTTGTGTTTTTTTTAAGACTGCAGATAAGCAGGCAAAACACTTTTTATTCTGACAAGCTTTTAAATCAGAACATTTTAAAGAATGGGCCGAGGGTGTTGTATTGTGTTAAACTGAACCGTTTTTAATTGCTTTTTATCTTTCAAATTACATTTTATCTTTGTAAGTGTAGGATTAAATTGTTTTCAAACTGTGAATAATTTAAATTCATTTTGATGCTCACTTTTTGTATGGTATTAGTTACATCGGTCTTCTTAAAATGTAACCCACCTTGCATCCCAATTATGGGAGAAAGGTGAAATAAAAATAAATATGATGATCTGTTCGAAATCTCTACAAACTGTTTTTCAGGGTTCTAACCTGAGCTTGCAATTACCGCGAGTCATTTTGGGATATGGATCTGATGACACACACATATTCACACAACTGAAAATTATAGTCAGGGTAGGTTTTGGTGAACACAGCCTGGACAAGCGTGTATTGTTTCCTTTGCTTCTGAGTGCACAGAGAAAGCAGCTGATTAAAAAGAAGGAGAGGAAAACTATATATATATATAGAGAGAGAGAGACTGAGATTTTCAGAAAGGCCCTATATCCCAGGATCTGATTTCAGGTTTTCTGTCTATCCCAGATTATCTGGCAGTGGGGACTGTTTATAATCCAGTTTAATGCAGAAAACCTGGGATCAAATCCTGGGATATAGGGCCTGTCTGGGCCATAAAGAATGTGATGACAGCTGCTAGTTGGTTTCTGATAAAAGCTCAAACCATTGGACACGAGTCCTCTGAAAGTCTAGAAAGAAAGACCATAGCACACAGCTTTTCAAACACTTTTTAGACATGCAGTGTGACATACTGATTCAGTTTTACTAGTAAATGAGAGGTTAAACTACCACTTTGTAAGAGATATGAACACATACATAAATTGTAATAATGAAATGCATGGGAACACAACACATCTCATGAAAACCTTTTCTACACACTAACACAGACATGAGGGTGGGTAAAAAAAGTAATGCCTCCATTGCTCTAACTTTTATTTGTTTCACAGCTACTGGAGGCAGATTGTTCAGTCTATGATCTGTAGCAACTTCTGCTGTTATATGTTCATTCATAATGTTTTTACTGCTAGGTTGGCAGAAGCTGGGGCTAACAACAGATGCTCATCCCACTCCCTGGATTTGAACCGCTGACCTTTTGATCAGCAAGTTCAGCAGTCCAGTGGTTTAACCCAATGTGCCACTGGGGCCTGAGTTAAACGATGGCACAAATGTGTACAAAGTGATGGTGACTACACTGAATGTTAGTTTTCTGTAGAAGATGGTTCAATCTATGATCTGTAGCAACTTCTGCTGTTTTATGTTCATTCATAACGTTTTTATGACACAGGAGGTAAAACTTGGTATGATAGCTGGGACTGAGTGCAAGCAGCGCTACACTGATTCCGGAAACACTGATAGTGCAATGCAACGGCAGGATACCACTGAACTCATAGCGCAACGCGGTGGCAGGATACCACTGAACTCAGTTAACACAGGCGGGACACAGATATGATAACACTGAAGTAATCCTTCCCTCTTTATTGTCCCCCCTTTCTGACCCATGTTCGGTTCCTGTGAACTATCTTGCAGACTCTGTCTCTTACTCTGCCCGCTCTTTCAACACACGTGTTCCTCATTCACAACCACTGTTCCGGCATTAGCATAGCGCTACCCACACTGAGTCCCAGTTGTCTTTGGGCTTGGCCCCATTTTAGCTGGCCCGAGTCCCCCTTGGGGAGATGGTGGTGGGGTATAAATAAAGTTTATTATTATTATTATCATCATACTTTTACCCAACATTTTTTGACCCACCCTCGTATACACACACACACACCTATTTATTCAAATCTAATACTCACTGTTTTTGTCTCAATTTGTTGTTCATTCGTTCAGTCATTTCCGACTCTTCGTGACGTCATGGACCAGTCCATGCCAGAGCTCCGTCGGTTGTCACCACGCCCAGCTCCTTCAAGGTCATGCCAGTCACTTCATGAATGCCATCCACCCAACTTGCCCTTGGTCGACCCCTCTTCCTTTTTCCTTCCATTTCCCCCAGCATAACTGTCCTAAGCTTTCCTTTCTTCTCATGATGTGGCCAAAGTACTTCATCTTTGCCTCTAATATCCTTCCCTACAATGAGCAGTCAGACTTTATTTCCTGAAGTATGGACTGGTTGGATCTTCACACGGTCCAAGGCACTCTCAGAACTTTCCTCCAGCACCACAGTTCAAAAGCATCTATCTTCCTTCGCTCAGCCTTCCCTATGGTCCAACTCTCACATCCGTAGGTTGTTTTTTTTTTTTTGTTTGTCGTGTCAGGAGCGACTTGAGAAACTGCAAGTCGCTTCTGGTGTGAGAGAATTGGCCTTCTGCAAGGACGTTGCCCAGGGGACGCCTGGATGTTTCTGGTGTTTTTTTATCATCCTTCTGGGAGGCTTCTCTCATGTCCCCGCATGAGGAGCTGGAGCTGACAGAGGAAGTCCTGCCAGCACAGGGGTTTAACCCACTGTGCCACCGGGGGCTCCTCACATCCGTAGGCGATTATGGGGAATACCATTGCTTTGACTAAGTGGATCTTTGTTGCCAGTGTGATGTCTCTTTGTCTCAATTACCTCACCGAAATTAAAGTGCGCACAAGATTGGTGTAATATGGTATTCTTCGTGCTGAACCAAAGCCAAAGGGGAAGTTTCGTCAGGAGCACCGGGAGCTCCTCTTTGAGGGATGTCATCTCTAATTTCATGTCCAGGGCTCAGTGCTATGAGATCCTGGGATTTGTAGTTGGAGAGGCATCAGCATTCTTTGGCAGAGAAGGCCCAAGACCTTTACAGGGACACCAGAGGCGCTCGAAGTGGTCAAAGGAAATTTAGTGCAAGGCCAAGTTTTGAAACTTTGTTTGTAGTCTATTTATACATTATAACTCAATTCTCTCAATTCCCTTCTGACACAATAAATAAACAAACATGAAGAAGCCTGAAAGAATAATAATTTTGAGGGAGCATTGTAATATGTTTCAGTTCTTAAAAGTGTGGAGTGACTGACAAGAGGGAGGGAGCCCTGAATGTTGTCAATTGACCCTTTGGGCATACACGTCCAGCTCCCTCTCTTCTGCCAAGCCTTCTTGATGTCTCTCGTGAGGCTCGGCGCGCGCTCTTCCCAGCGCATGCAGTGGCGCGAGCCCTGACCGGAAGTCGGCGTTGCCCGTAGCAACCAATGGACGCGGGAAGGCCAGGAGCGGCGGGGGCGGCTGTGGAGACCATGGAGGAGGGCCCGACGATGACGACGACCTCGGAAGGCACTTTCTGCCTCCACCGTATCCTTCCCTTCGCCTTCTCGCCCCCGTTCCAGGGTTGGGAGGGAGCCTCAGGGCCAGAGGAAGGGGAAAGGGAAGCGAAACAACCCCTGACGCCGGCTTTTCTGCCTCCTCCTTGCCTCCTTCGTCATGCATGCAGACTACAGCCCTGTTTCCCAAACTCTGGTCTTTGTGGACTAAATTCCCCATTTTCTAACATTATAGTTGCCACTTCTCTATATTTGGTACTTTTATTTCACAGGCTTTCCCTCTGTTCTCCTCAATCTCTTCCTTCTCTCAGATCTTCCTCTTTCCTTCAGAACTAACTCTTATACGCATTTAATATTCCCTACAGACTCTCCCATGGCAGCTGCTTAGGATTTTGTTTCCTGTAGGGAGCTATATTTAAAGCATACATAAATTGAACATATGTTCATAAATTCATACAAGCATTCACAGATTCATTCTTCATTCTCCACAATCCCTGCTCATTGGTCAAGGTGCCAGAGACTTCTGGGAGTTGAAGTCCAAAACACCTGGTGTAGGTTGCACCCTAGACCAGTAGTTCTCAACCTGTGGGTCCCCAGGTGTTTTGGCCTACAACTCCCAGAAATCCCAGGTAGTTTACCAGGTGTTCAGATTTCTGGGAGTTGAGGGCCAAAACATCTGGGGACCCACAGGTTGAGAACCACTGCTCTAGACTGTAGTACAGTAGTTCTCAACCTGTGGGTCCCCAGGTGTTTTGGCCTACAACCCCCAGAAATCCCAGCCAGTTTACCCACTGTTAGGATTTCTGGGAGTTGAAGGCCAAAAGATCTGGGAACCCACAGGTTGAGAACCAATACAGTTTGGCACTACTTTAACTGCCATGGCTCCATGCTACCGCATTCTGGGAGCTGTAGTTTGGTGAGGCACCAGCAGTCTTTTGCAGGAGACTTCATCACCACTAGAGTTTAAAGAGTAAGACCCCTTCCACACAGCTGAATAAAACCCCACAATATCTGCTTTGAACTGGAATATATAGCAGTGTAGACTCGGGATAACCCAGATATTGTGGGATTTTCTGCCTTGATATTCTGGGTTATATGGCTAAGTAAAAAAATGTGCATTCCACTTGAAATCCCGGGCTTTGCTTGAGCTTGCTAACATTTGTTCAGGTAGATCATAGTAAAATAATATTATGTGAAACCAGTCTATGAATTCATTCAACAAGTGTCTTAAAGAACTGGGTATGTTTAGCTTGCAGAAGAGAACGTCGAGGGGATGTTCATATTTTGAAAATATAATAGATGTTCCAATATACTGTGTGCAACTTAAATGTACATTGTATTACTATTTAAATTTTTTAAAATCCAAAGAGAAGGTTGGGCCTTAAAAGAGATAGGCCCAGTGGGCCTACAGTCCCTATTGTGTGGCATATTCCCATAGACTATCAACTCTATCATTATGTCTGTAATCGCTCCGAAACAGAACACCTTCAAATTTAGAATTGTACCACATAAGTAAAATCCATCGTAAAACATTTGGGGGGAGGGGAGGAAGGAAGGAGGGAAGGAAGGAAGGAAGATGGCCTCCCTGACCAATGGTGTGCTTAAATACACCTAAGCATAATGGTAAATCTGGCACTGCATAAATACATTTGTATTGAAGAATAAATGTCATTTTAATAATTTAATCAGTGTTACCAGTTCCATCTTAAATTATTACTTATGTGAGGTGTTCAAATAGTTGTCCCTGTGTAGCAATGCACTGCTTGCACTGTTGAAACAGAGTTGCAAGTCTGACTTCAAGTTTCTTATAGTTTTGCAACACTTCTGTTACTATGGAATTTTTAAAAATCCTATCAGTCCTTCACCTTCATGAATTCTGTATTCAGACACCCATGGCTTGGGAAATATCTTTCCCTCCTAAAATTCAAAACGATAAAATGGCAAACTCAAGCTTACTTATCTCTTATAAGTAAAAAATGGTTTTATTATTTATTTATTAAAAATAAAGAAAATCAACCTATGCTGTTGAATTCATGAGAGGCAGTGTGATGTATAGGCTTGGATGCTGAATTAAAACTATGGAGACCAGGTTTCAAATCCCACTTGGCCATGTATCACATCTGCACTGTAGAATGAATGCAGAATGACACCCCTTTAACTGCCATGGCTTAGTTCTATGGAATCTTGGGATTTATAGTTTGGTGAAGAACTAGCAGTCATTGATAAGCTAAAGACCAAATACCACTGGTCCAGGGTTTCCATATAATAAAGTAAAGACAGTTAAAGTGGTGCCAAACTACAGTGCAAATGCACCCCTGGAAACCCATTGGTTGACCTTGGGCAAGTCCCACTCTCCCAGCCCCAGAGGAGATCTTGCCAAGAAAATCTTGCCAAGAAAACCCTTTGATAGGTTCACCATAAGTCAGAAAATATTGAAGGCACACAACAATCACAACATGTTATTAAATACAGTAGATGTGCAGTTACACAGTTTATAAACAAAATCAACACTGCTGGTTTTATTTTTTCCCAATTGATACATCTGTTTCATTAATTTTTGTTATAGTAGTGCAAATAACTTCATATTTATTGGCTTGTAGTTTTCTAATTCCCCAACCAGAATGTATTCAAAGAGTTCATGCTGACAAACATTTTAGAATGTTTTTGCAGCTTTATGGCTTTTGTTTTTAAAATTCTCACAACGTTGTAGAAATCTTCTTCCCACAGATAATAGAGTTATTTTTCTTTTTGGTCTGGGAATAGGCAACCTTTTTACTTTGTGTATCTATAAAGAATATGAGGGAGGATACTTTTCCTAGACTTTGGGCCCTTCAACACATGGCTAAAAACCCAGAAGTAACCAGGATAAAAGGGAGGGGGGTGACTAAATGATGTTTAGTCAAAGTGCAGATGGAGCAGGGTTAACAGTCAAAAAGCATGTGTTTAAAAGGTACGCTTAAAACCTGATTTCACTCCAGAAATGTGCATCTTCACATGACTGTATAATATCCCTGCAGTCATGGAAAACACATGACTTCCATTGTATCATTCTGTGTGGACTGTGCCAGCAAACATACACATTTTAAAAGCCTGAAACAGTTGACAGGTCAGCAAAAAAATGGAGCCACAGACATACAAGTAGCTAAAGACAAGCACAACTGGAAAGCAATTCGAACTCTCAGCAACCATTCCTTTATTTAGATCTTTGTAATATTAATCAGAGCTTGAATTTATAGCTGGGTGAAGAGAATAAGAAATCGACTTGTGTGTGGGATCTCTACATGAGCGCATATGAGGTCCAGTGCATCTTGGAGAGTTTTTTTAAAAAAACCCTCCCCCATCTGCCCTCCATCTTGATCAAATTTGGCCAAAATACTCTAAAGACACTAAATCTAATCTTGGAAGCTAAGTAGGCTCAGCGCTGGTTATTTATTGGATGTGAGATCAAGGAATACCAGGTGTCATTGGCTATATTTCAGGCTGGATTTCACTGCCATATAATCCAGATTGTCAAATCAGATAATACACTGGATTTTTTTAGGTAAAGAAGACTCAGATCCCTTCTACACCGCCATATAAAATCCGGATTATCTGCTTTGAACTGGATTATATGAATCTACGCTGCATATAATCCAGTTCAAAGCAAATAATCTGGATTTATATGGCAATGTGAATCTGGACTCAGATTCAGGAACTGGTAAAACCACCTCAGAGGTCCCTTCTGCACTATCATATAAAATCCAGATTATCTACTTTGAACTGTATTATACGGCAGTGTAGACTCATATAATAACAACATTTTTATTTATATCCCCCCTTGCTGTCATTAGCAATTGATTTCATTCACCAAAAGCTTACTTGAACAGGTAGATCTTCAACTGGTTCCTGAAAGATAACAGAGAAGGGGCAGTTTTAATATTAATGTGGAGAAAGTTCCAAAGGGCCAGAGCGGCTACTGAGAAGGCCCTCTCTCTCATTGTCGCCAACCGTATTTGTGACAGCAGCAACACCGAGAGAAGGGTCTCCCCTGAAGATCTTAATGATCGGGCAGGTTGGTAATAGGTAATGCAGTCAGATAGGTAAATTGGGCTTGAACCATTGAGGGCTTTCAGTGTGGATTATCTACTTTGATAATCTGGATTATGTGGCAGTGTAGAAGGGACCAGAAGCCTTCTATATCCCAGGGTCTGATCCCAGATTATCTTCTTATCCCAGATTATCTGGCAGTGGATACTCATATAATCCAGTTTAAATCAGATAATCTGGGATCAGATTCTGGGATATAGGCAATGTAGAAGGGCCTGAGTCTTCTTTACTTAAGAAAACCCTGTGAACAATTCATGGGGTCACCATAAATCAATAATAATTTGAGGGCACACACAAACACACCAGGCTTTATCAAAGGGTGCTGAGGGTGCAATCCCATTTATCAGGGAGTAAGACTTACTGAACTCAGTGAGCTATACTTCTGACTAGAAATGCATAGGATTGCATTGTTGAACAGTTTTGTAAAGCACTCCCTTTCCATTCCCTTCTCTTAGACTACTTTCAGGATTTTCTTTTTCTAAGATGAGTTGAGTTGTGGCAGGAGTCTCCATGGCAACTACTTGCATTTTGCAGAGGTCTTGTAGCCCAACCCAACACATGCCTACTCAGAAGTAAGTTAAGCAGGACTTGATCCAGGATCAATAGACATCAGCTTACAACCTTACAGACCAAGCCAGTATACATTTTCTCAGAATTAAATCACTAAATGTAATTATATTATTAAGTCGGTATGCATAAGTTTGCAGCGTTAGCATTTTATCTTGTGAAGAGAGGGAGTGAGACAGCTAACAGAGACACTTGAGGCATTGGCTTGTGAACAGAATTCTGATTTTAAAACGTTCAAAGAACAGTGATTACTTCATCTTTTCCTTTTATCTTTTTACCAAAAACTAAATTGACCCTCAAAATGATTGTAATCTTTCAGGGATTTTTTTAACCCATGCAATTCCCAGCCCACTTCCCGTGAATCAAATTTCAGCATAA